GAGAAGGTTGGATTAGATAATTTGGAAGACCCACGTCGAAGGCATTGAGATTTGGGGAAAAGGATCAGCGTCTCCTGCCTCTCAGACAACTACTTCCTCTCCTTTTCTTGGCTCCACCCCAAACCAGTCTGCAGTGAGCTTCCAATCTCCAAAGTCGATAAAAATCTGAGGGGCCTTTGGGGGCTCGTGAGCCCATAAAAGACTGGTTTAAAGTGAGCTGTGGCTTAGCCTGGTTTTGGTTTCTATTCTGTATTTCCTGTATTTTCCAGAAGATAGCTTCTGCCTGTGCCTAGTCCCAAGAGGCTGCTGCCTTAGGAAGGATGAGATGGTTGACTGGCTCATCCTTGAGCTGGAGAGAAGTGAAATGTGTGATTTAGGGTTTTGTGAGATTTAGGGGATCAGTGCTGCCCCTGAATTTCATTGTACTCTTGGCAGTAGCAGCAGTGAGCATTTTATAAGCCTGTCCTGAGCCCATGCATCTCCCCTTTCCCAAAGGGTGGAGCCCAGCAGGTGGGCCAACTGTTTGGTCCAGTACTTGGTTCTCTTTTCTGAGTCCTCTGACAGCTAGTCAGTTGTATATAAACCACAGTGTGTTCACTACTTGCTTGCTCTTTAACTTGCCCATTCCTTAAGACTTCAAGGTCTCATATCACTTCATTCTCACTGTTTCTCCTGCTTAACTCTCATGATCCTACCCATGGACATGGATGATGGTGACATGGTACCTGCCTGTTTCCTTTATTTTTTGTGGAAATGGATTTCTGTTCTTGCTCTGACTGGGTTTGTTCCTGCATCTCATGATATGGCTACGTTTGATCCCACCAACTTTCCCACCCTTTGGTTTCTTTAATCCTAAGTCAACCATTGTTTCCATTCCTTCTTGCTAAAAAACTTCCCAAATCTTTCATGTTTTCAAGCACCCTGATGTAAACCAAAAACCATAATTTGATTTATATTATGTAGCCTCTTAATCCTGGTAAAATAGTAATGATAGTGGAGCAATGACTTTGGGATGGTCTCTTTACCTTGGAGATACTGGTTGATACTCATTCAATTTCTTAATTAATTTCCAGTGTCCATGGTTGTCACAGATATCAGTATTGTATTGAAAGTATGGAATAACACATTTTCCCACTGTGGTTTGTGGAGTTTATCCTGACTCTTTGGTACCTGACACTGGTGACCCCAAGACCATTGTGAGCATGGCAGATGTGAACACCACATTCTTCAGTAAAGCTAGCAGTTATTGAAAACCAGAGCTTGGCTAGCATCCTTTTTTGGACCACATTCAGAGCAAGAGGTTATTCAGGTGCTGGCACTGGGAGCTGTTTAGAGTCGCCAAATCCCATTCCACTGAAGGTTTATGCTTTGGAATCCCTGCTCTGATTCTGGTTCTGACAAGGGCAGCTGACTGTCTGGATTTATGGTTGCAGTAACAATGAAGAGGAGAAATGATCCAGAGTGTACTGCCCCCATCAAGAAACAGAAGAAAAGAGTTGCAGAGCTTGGCCTGAACCTCAGTTCTACGTCTGATGATGAACCTCCCACCTCTATCAATCATGCAGCAAAAGGTATGCTTGCCCATTTGGTCTGAGGTCACTGGCCATCTGGTTATTTGAATCTGGTGCCTGAATTGGGCAGAATACAGTCTCCTGGAGGAAAATTAGGCAAATTCCAAGAGAAATGTTTTCTGTAGAATCTCTTCCTTCCTGCCATTCTAGTAGGATTGGGACACTTGTTTTAAATTAAAAACATGGAATTTTTACACAAGTGCCTTAGTTTGCTACTGGTCCTTCAGTAGATGGCACTCTTTTGCTGTCTTAAAGCAGTTGGGTCTAGTGATAAGCATTGAGTGCCCTGTGCTCTTAATAGCAGTTAATGATCCTTTTTGCTGCAGTGATCTGGCCTAATTCCCTTTAGGTTTTAGCATTCTGATTTCTCAGTTCCCTCAGCAGTTGTGACCAGAAACACCCAAGTGAATTGGAGCTTCCCTGTGTTCACTGTTCATATTAAGCTCAAAGCATTTCACTTATTTGGTTGAAATAAGCACTTTACTTTGCCTGCATTTTAGAGTTATAGACATTCCACAGATGCTTTTTGTGAGAAATTAAAAGTGTCTGGTAGCTAGGACTTGCCTCAAATACCAAGCAGTTAGAAGTAGCTCTATTTGCAGTTTACCTAGACTTGCTGTGTTAGTTTCTTAGGACTACTAATTACTGTAAACTGAAACATAAGAAATTTATTCTTTCTCAGTTCTGGAGGCTAGAAGTCTGAAATCAAGGTTGTAGCAAGGCCGAGCTTCCTTCGATGGCTTTTGGAACGAATCCTTCCTTGCTTCTTTTAGTTTCTGGTGGTTGCTGGAAATCCTTGATGTTCTTTGATTTGTGGCATTGTAACTTCAGTCTCTGCCTCTGACTTCCTTCTGTGTGTATATTTGTAATTTCCACCTTCTTATAAGGCTGCCAGCCACTGGATTAGGACCTACTCTAATCTAGTATAACCTCATTTTAATTTGATCACATCTGCAAAACTCTGTTTCCAAATGTCACATTGCAGGCAGTGGGTGGACATGATCTTTTTTTTTTTTTTTAAAAAAGATTTTATTTATGCATACAGAACTGAGGTACAGGCCAGAGGTGTGGTGGGTGAGAAGATTCACCAGAGACAAGAGTGGGGAGCAGAACAGGCAGATCCACAAAGTACATTGCTGAGGGGAGCAGCAGGCGGGTCAGAGGAGGTCTGCCGCGCCATGTGGATCACCTCCGGGGTGGGGATCGAACTCTTGCTGAAATGGCTATAGCTTCTTAGTGCTGTGCTTGTACCCGCTACGCCACCAGGGAGGGCCCGGACATGATCTTTGGGGGATACTATTTAACCCAGTATACAGGCAGTTTGTGGAACTATGGATGCCTTTAAAATTGTCATGATGTATTTCAGGGTAGATGAGTAAAGCTGTATGCATTTGAGATTACTAAGCAGGAAGGCAAAGACATACTAGGCCTTGTTCTGGGGACTGTAGAAGAAAGGAAGTTTTGCATTCCACCTGGCATGAGTGGCTAGATGAAGGTAGAAGAGTTTCTTTGGGCAGGACTGGGGTTTTGGGAGAGATGGCCTATAAAGGGTAGTAGGAAAGCATGTCTGTAGGGAATAAATGATACTCAGATAATGGCGATCTCTCAGCATGCTGGGGATCATTTGCTCTCTAGTATTATCTGAACTAGGGTGAGGACAACTCCCAGGTATAGGCAGGTAAGTGTATATTGTTAAAGACTTTTTCAAGAAACCAATCTGAATTAAATTTGAAGCTTTAAAAAATGTGATTGAATTGAGATTATCTTCTTTTCCTGTCCACAAACTCCTTTCAGTTGTACTAAATAGCTTTCACCTTTTTTGGAAGTAGTACCATTATGACTCCGACAAGATTGACTATTGCTGTTGTGTGTATAGAATGGAAATCTAGAGGTGGCTAGTGTACCTTGTATATATCTGGCCAGGAGGCCATTTAGTCCTTTTTATTTGCAGAAAATGAGGCAGGAGACAAGACAAAAATTCCTGATTTTGCTGGGTCAGCTTGTTTTAGGAAAGGGCAGCTCCATATTGCCAGAAAAACTTTGAGGGTTTGAATTTGGTGTCTTCAACATAAGATTACTCTCTGTGCCCCTTACCCTATACCTTGCCCCTCTCCCAGCCCACCCCCTTCTAAGTAAATACTTACTGAATAGAACTAATAGATGCTTCATTGATCTTTTAGATTGTCTTTATTTTTATTTTATATCTGCTTTTTTTTTTTTAAAGATTTATTTATTTATGCATACAGAACTGGGGTACAGGCCAGAGGTACAGGGGTGGCAAGAGGCTTCACCAGAGACAGAGTGGGGAGCAGAACAGGCAGATGGACGAAGTACACTACTGAGGGGAGCATCAGGCGGGCCAGGAGAGGTCTGCCGCCCCATGTGGTCTCCTCTGGGGCAGGCGGGAATCGAACTCATGCGGAAGTGGCTTTAGCTTTTCAGTGCTGTGCTTTAACCCGCTGTGCCACCAGGGAGGGCCTATTTCTGCTTTTTAAAAAATATTTATGCATACACAACTGGGGTACAGGCCAGAGGTGCAGGGGCTGTGAGAGGCTTCACCAGAGATAGAGTGGGGAGCAGATCAGGCAGATTGACGAAGTACACTGCTGAGTGGAGCAGCGGGTGGGTCAGGAGAGGTCTGCACGCCATGTGGATCACATCTGGGGTGGGGATCGAACTTGAGCTGAAGCGGCTGCAGCTGGCTTGCAGTGCTGTGCTGTGCTTTTAACTTGCTGTGCCACCAGGGAGGGCCCTGAATATATTTTTATTATTTCCTTTCTTCTACTGGTTTTTGGTATTTTTTTGTTGTTTTTCTAGTTCTTCAAGAGAATTGATAGAAGTTTTCAAGAAACTTAAACTGTTTTACTTCTTACATTTTGTTTGTCCTTTCTGCAGCTTATGGAAGAGCATTTCATTAAGTTTTTGACTATCCCTCATCTGTGTTCTGTGTTGGTTACTCTTAAGTGTCCCAGGGACAGTGTGCCCTGGTAGTTTACTGTCTCACCAGAAAATACATATTGCCTGAGATATGTGTTTAAGTCACTGTATTAAACAAGGTGTGTTTCCTTTGGCTCTAACCACTTCTACCTGGATACACTGTTGGAATAGATGATTGAAAAATGCTTTTCAGGGAGTACAATCAAAAAAACAACAAAAAAAGTTACTATTTTTATCTGTCTAGCTTGTGCTCTTCTGCTAGATCAGTGTGATGACTCATTAGTAGATTTAGTGTAGCCAGTTTGGTTATGGACAAAGTGGCTACATTGCCAGGTCAGAGCCTGACTAGAGTAAAGAAGATGGGGTTGTCATGGCTACTGTGGCATCGTGAGTTCTTCTATTTTAAGAGGAGTTTGAATGCATTTTCAAAACTAAATATACTCTTGGAAATTTACTATTAGGAGAGGCAGGTGAAAGTCATTTTGTTCTTTTTGGTTGTGCTGCATCAAGCAGGGAAAGTGAGGTAGGTCCCAAGAAACTTTCCTTTTCTCCTTCATTGTGTACCCAGTGTGGCTCCTGTCCTCTCACAGTGTTCTGCTTGGAAGTTGCCAGTCTCTTTCCCAGTACCACACTAAAAACACCTTTCCCTCTCCCAGGTTTAATTCTCCCCTAAATAGGCTATTTTCCCTGAAACACCATTGCTTAACTGTCAGCCCAGATTCATGACCTTAATCAAAAACTTCCTTTATCGGTATCTGTTTAAATTGCTCTAACGAGTTACCATTTGTCTGGCGTGAAGGAGAAATTGAGTCTTTACACAGGAATGAGTATATTCCACAGCAATAGTTAGGCAGGATGTGATGTTTATTAAAACCCATAATTTATTCTTCTGTATCTGTGTGCTGTTCACCTTTTGTTGGGGCTTTCCCTTCTTATGTCCTCACAGTCTCTTCTTGTCATGTTTGTCCTGCTCTGTGGCCACTAGTTGCAAAACCTCTGATTTGTCTATAAAATGAATGTTCTGCTTTAAAGTGACTTAAGAGTAATGATTTCCATCAGGAGAGAAGAAATCTTAAATGAAAGTTCTAAATAATGTTTTAGACTCTTTGGTAGGCCTTAGAAGGGGCCAGGGAGGTAAATGTGAATGCCACCCAGCTTTGGCGCATTCTTACTGAAACTAATGATTTTAATAGACTGACCTTATTACTCCTGTTAATTTATATCCTCATTACAAGATTGTCTGCTCACTGTTTGCTAAATTCTTATCAGTCTTGGGAGGCTAACCCTTCTTTTTAGTTACTACTGCAGCCATGGCAGCTGTCTCCCATTTATTTAAACTAGTAGTTCTAAATACACAAGAGTTGGGCTGAGTAGTGGCTGCAGCAGTCTGTGGATGTCAGGACTAATAGAGGAAACTTTGCCTTAAGTCTAGTAAGGCTAAGAATTGGTTTTAAATACCAATGAGGGCCCTCCCTGGTGGTGCAGTGGCTTAGGGTGCAGCACGGCAAGCTCTGCTCCTTCAGTGTGAGTTCGATCTCTGCCCCTAGAGGTGATCCGTGTGGCGCAGCAGAGTTCTTTCTTGCCCGCTGCTCCCCTCAGCAGTGTACTTCGTTCATCTGCCTGTTCTGCTACCAGTTCTGTCTCTGGTGAATCCTCTCACCACCCCTGCATATCCTGCCTGTTCCCCAGCTCTGTATGTAAATAAATCTTTAAAAAATAAATAATAATTAAAAAAAAAGCAATAATAAAAAGTTCCAATGAAATAGAGGAAAGCAATAGGCACACTTTTTGATCTCTAAAAGAAGTGCCTAGTAGAATGTTATTTTTTTTTAAATTTTATAATAGTTTATTTTTACATATTTTTGTGCATTTTTCCATCTCAGTTGCAATCCCCTTGGGTTTCCCATCACCAAATCACCCATGTGCCATCACCATAGTCCAGTGCATTTCCCCTCCCCCCACTGTTCTTGATCCCATTCCCCACTCCACCCCCACAAAATGTTTCTGGTATATAGATGTTCATCACTATCATTATTTTCTTGCCTGTTCTGTTATATTCCTGTTATGAGATAAATCATCTGGTATTTTTCCTTTTCTTTCTGACTTATCTAGTAGAATGTTATTTTAACTCCTTCCATCCTCACTCTCAGAGCCTGGACAACATAGCTATGTTCAAAGTGACACTTCAGGAAGAGGAATAGCGTGGACAGGTTTTGTGCCAGAGTGATGGAGTTTTGCAAAAGACTTAACATTGATTTCACTAATGAGCCTTCCAACCAAATTTAATTCTCCCTGTTATTGTGGTTCAAAAATGTTAGGAAGATGAAGAAAACAAAAGCTCTCTCAGGGATCTGAGGTTGGCAGGAACCCTGCATGCCCAGGAATGAGAATTATACCTTTCTAGGGCCCACTGATGGGTCCTTGGGTAAATCTAATATAGCCTGGCAGCACCCTAGAACTGGACCTGGGGCACATTCTTCTTGGAGAAAGATACTTGGTTTCCCTAACCTTTCCATAGAAAAATTATGAATCTCCCACATAGCTGGTGAAAGGAATAGTAACTAGCTTAATGCTGTAGCTTCTGGTTAGTCAGGACAGTGGCTCTCTGAGCTGCCAGAAGGGAACTTTCAGTGTAGGGCTCAGGAGCTGCCCATATTCCTGGTACCACCTCTTTTCTGTGTGAAGCAATACTAGTTGAAGGCATGGAAGCAGTAAAGAGAATCTGCACCTATGGAAGCACAGTTCTTTAGCATGTGGAGCTGATGCAGAGCACATACCTGTCTAATTTGTGGGAGATAATAGACAAGAGGCTCAGGCTTTGTCTCACATCATTCAGATTAGCTCTTCTCAGAAGATTGCTCTGGAAAGGAACCAAGTGCTCCCCAAGGTTCGGAGTGATACTTTATGACTATATATTTTTTTACCCTAATTTCATACTAATACATTCTTGTGTCTCACACAGAAAATGTAGAAAAGTGCAAAGCAAAATAAATATCACTTCACCTGTTAGTTTCCATGGTTACTCATTTTTCATGTTCTGGGTCTTCTGAATGGCATTTTATGGTGTGTGCTACATTGATCTGTGTAGGCAAGTTACCTCTTTAGGAAAGGGAGTTTGCTAGACATCTTAAGAGAAAGGAAGGTTTGGTGCCTCCCATATGGGGAACACTCTCAATCCAAATTCCTCCTTGTTAACTGCTTGGAAGTGAGAATTTTGGTTTTAAGTTTAATTTTTTTCATGTGTTCATCTACCTTTAACTTAAAAAAATACACATTTATCTTAGCCATTAGTTTTTTCTTTTTTAAATATTTATTTATGCATACAGAACTGGGGTACAGGACAGAGGTGCAGGGGTGGTGAGGATTCACCAGGGACAGAGTGGGGAGCAGAACAGGCAGATTGATGAAGTACACTGCTGAGGGGAGCAGCGGGCGGGTCAGGAGAGGTCTGCCACACCATGTGGATCACGTCCGGGGCTTGGGATCGAACTTGAGCGGAAATGGCCCAGCTTCTTAGTGCTGTGCTTTAACCCGCTGTACCACCAGGGAGGGCCTGCTGTTAGATTTTTTTAAGCTCTCTGAAGATAGGATTTTATCTGATGATTTTTAGCATAGACTGCATAGAACACGCCTGAATCAAAGTTATTGTCAGATCTATTAAATCATATGAATGTTTTGAACTCTGAAAAATGTCCTTTTCAGCCTACTTGGGCAGGAAGTGATGAATAATAATCCATAGAGGGCCCAGTTCTGTGTTAGAATGTAGATATTCTGTCCTCATGCTAATATTTTTTTGTTGTTGGGTCTTTTAAAAATATATTTTTTAAGCACCTGTTTTTTTTTAAGAGCAGTTTAATGTTCATAGTAAAATTGAAAGTACGAAAGTATCTCATATACACTCTCCTTCCCACACATACATTATCTCCCCTCCATCAGTATCCTTCACCAGAGTGATATTTTTTACAACCATTGAACCTCTATTGACCCATCATTATCACCCAAAATCCGTAGCTTAAGTTATGGCTCACTCTTAGTGTTGCACCCTATGGCTTTGTCTAATTGTAGAAAGATGTGTGTGTCCTTATACTTATGAGGGCTGAATATCTTGCACTTCTTGTATGAGGTGTTATCAGAGGAAGTATCTTAAGGAGTTATACACTCAGTAGGTGCTTAGCAAAGATGAAAACTGGGTAGTAGTTTATTAAACTTTAAATTAATCTCTGTTCAGTGGAAAGCCCAGTCTGGGTACTGGACAGAGAGGAAGTTGACTGTGACACAGTTCTGTAGGAGAACTCTCCTGAGCGCCTGGTGGGTTACATGTGCCCACACGTGGCTCTCAGGTATGTGATGAGCGCTGCGCCCGTGGTGTGAGTGCTGGTGCTCAGTGGATGGAGGGGTGAACTCAGCTTGGGGTGCTGGGAAGACTCTGTTTTTCTGCATGTCAACCCTTATTTTGGATTCCTCTAGGGATAGTGCAGATTTAGAGTTGTGACATGTAACCCGTTAGCCTTAGATGTAATTGTGACGTTGCTCATACCTGAATAGGGACTGGCAGGCATAGAAAGCATTGTGCATGACTGCCCTCTGTGCCTTTACTCAGCACTGTCTACACGTGGCTAAGCTTGGACTCAGGGGCTTCTTTTTTCTTTTTTTTTTTTTGCATTTTAAAAGGACAGATTTATTGGGACACAACGACACCTTCATACACATAGGTTGTGAAGAGCTGCAGCTGCTGCTGCTTTTGAAAGGGGGAAGTTCGTTAAGGGAGATGCCTGCTTAGACACGGTGGGGCCAGAGCTACCACTTCTTTTTTCCTTAAAGGAACCGACCCACATTGCTAAGTCAGTTATTTTCTTGTTTATTTTAAATTTAATAGATAATATATTTACATGATCCAGAAATCAAAATATATAAAGAGATAACTAGTATCAACTCTAGTGATACAGAAATGTGAATCACCTTTCATTTGTTCCAGGAAGTCATTTTAGTATTCACTCTCTAAGTTCCAACACCTGTTTGTGTGGATAATCACTTTTATTGATCTTGTGTATCTTTTCTTTCTAGAAGGTCTTTTTTGTAGTTATAAGAAATAACTTAGCTCAGTCTGGTCATCAGCTCCCTCCTGGAGTGTTAGATACAGTTCCTTTTACGCTCCACTTCAGTTGGTGCTGCTGTCTGAGTGTCTTCCCTCTTCCCTGTCCTTCCTCTCTTTCCTCATCTTTCCTTTTCTTCTTTACTTCCTCCCCCCTTCTTCCATGTACCTTACCTACTTTTCTTCCTGTGAGAAGCAGATTATAGACTTGCCCTCTGCTTACGAGATCAAAAGACAAAAAAACAGAGGAAACGTGGAAATTCAACAATCAGAAACTGTCAGTATGATGTAGAATTACTGAAAATGAATCCGGCATCAGTGTTCACTAAACAGCTATAGCATCAGTACAATGATTTCTTCATAGTGCATTTTATATTTGACAGTGTATTTTCAAGTATATTCTTTCATTTAATTTTCAGACAACCCAATGAGGTAGGTATTACCATCCCAGTTTTATAGGAGAAGTAATTGAAAGGGTAGAAAAGGAAAACCGATATTTTGATCTCCTGTTGTGTGCTTGGTACCATTGGGAACTTTTGATGATTTAACCCATGATTTAGTTAGTAAGCAGTAGGGAATATTTTTGACACTGGGTCATTTGATGGACTTTATGCTATGATATACTAAAATTAGTTGAAAAATGAGACTTGGACTTCTAGAAGCTATTTTGTGCCATAAATTCTCCTAAACTTTTCCTTCCCCTGCCCCCACAGCAGCTACCACAAGCCTGAGTGGGTCTGACAGCGAGACTGAGGGGAAGCAACGCAGCTCTAACTCTTTTGACGATGCCTTCAAAGCAGACTCCCTTGTGGAAGGAACATCATCTCGCTATTCCATGTATAATAGCGTCTCCCAGAAGCTTATGGTATGTCAGCACTAGGGTTGGGTGTCAAAAGTTCTACCAGCAAAGCGAGAGAAGGGAAATTGTATTGTCATGAAGAGAAGAAAATCAAGGGTGTGAGTTTTTCCTCTGCTTTCCAACTACTGAAATTTAGTAGAGTGTGGCTACTTTCTCAGTAGAAGGACCTGTCACGTTTTGAGTCATCCAGAGAAGTGGTTGTCAGGTCTCCTCCTGCTCTGTCAAGAGCTGGATTACTCTTTATTTACCTTAGTATAAATTCTTAACTGTGAACACAGGTTAATATACTTCACGGATGTGTGTTGGTTTGTAAAGACTTCATGCTGTGAATTTCTTCTGCTCTAGTAAGTGGGATCAAAAGAATTGGCTAATGTTCTGTGCATTCCCAGGTGCCCAAAATAAATGGGAGTAGTACAGCCTTTGTATTATTTCAGAAAGACCCAGCTTTCCTTCCTAACCTCCATATTCTGTTCATATACCTCAACAAAGGAGGTGAATAGGAAGACTTGTTCACTTTCCTCATCAAACTTAGTATGTGTGCAAAGATTAAGGAAACCCAAGTTTGCCTTCTAATGTGCCTTCTCTCTAGCTTCAGGAGTCTTCTCTATTTTCTGTCGGGCTCAGTGAAGAATGATCTACCACTTTTGAAGTCACAGTCAGAATTTTGGTTTGGAGGACACAAACTTTAGGAAAGTGGAAGAGTTTGTCACTCATTCAGCCTCGTTGATCTTGTGGGAGAATTTGTGGCCACTGTAGGAATTTCACCCAGCTTTTGAAGTGGTACTCCCCCTTATAAAGGGGGTCTAAATCCTGTAGGTGGAATTATTTTAGGGTTGGAGTTCTTTTTTCTTTGTATATTTAATATAACTTTATTTTTACATAATGTATGCCCTTTTTCCATCTCAGCTGTAATCCCCAGGGGCTTCCCATCACCAAATCACCTCCCCACTCCACCCCCGTAAAATGTCTGGTATATGGTTGTTCATCATTATTATTATTATTACTATTTCCCCCTGGTCCTTTATGCTCTTGCTATAAGTGAAACCATCTGGTATTTTTCTTTCTGGCTTATTTCACTAAGCATGATCCCTTCCAGTGGGTTGGAGCTCTTTTACTTGGCAAGGTTCTGTGGGGTTTGATTTTTTGGGGTATGCAACTTATAGATAGTTGTGGCATCTTAAAACAATGTTTCTGTTTAGGGTCTTATAGTACTTTCCATACTTCAGTTTTACATGAAGTGATTTTTCAGTTAATCTCCTGATTGAGTGGGCTCCTGTAAGCACTCGTCCTTATTTATTTAGTAAGACGATGACTGACTGTGGGCAAGGTACAAGTTGCCATTTGAAGTGGTTCCATTTTAAGTTAAGTTCTCTCTATTAATTCTGTTCTCAGATCTACTTCTCACTTGATTAGATAAATTATCTGGAAGGGTAGTTGTACAGATAGATGTCCACTAAGATCCATTAACTATTCTTGGTGGTTTTAATTAGAGTTATGAGGTTCCTTATCTTTTATCCAACTTCTGGTTGCTGTAGTCTTTCATCTCCAGAGTAGATTGCCATGGGCCCACAGTTAAATTACAGTTATTTATGCTGCTTTTCTTCATTAAAATAGAATGAAAGCTTTAAACCTTATCTATGTTTCTGAGGGTTTAGCATATCTGGTACATGATAGTGCTAATAAATGTGTTTATTTATTTAACACTCCCTTATTTCTCTTTTTCAGGCCAAGATGGGCTTTAGGGAAGGTGAAGGGTTGGGTAAATACAGCCAGGGCCGGAAAGACATCGTTGAGGCCTCTAATCAGAAAGGTCGAAGAGGCCTGGGCCTGACACTGCAAGGTTTTGACCAAGAACTGAATGTGGACTGGCGAGATGAACCTGAGGTAACTCGTGTGGGGAGCAGGAGATGGGGAAGGTGCTGTTTGGATGCATGACTATAAGTAGCAATATTAACAAATGCCTTTTAGTGGGGATTGGGATTAGTGCCTCACATGGAATGTGCTGAGCATGTCCAGAATGGAAAAAAGAAGACTAGAGGAGCTATGATTTGTTCTCCATTGCTTCATATATGAGTACATCCAGTGGGTAGAAGATGCTGAAAGGCAGTTTAGTTTTACAAAGAACTTTAATAGATAGAGCTTTCTGCTAGTGACTAAAGATACCTCATGAGGTAGTGAGCTCTGTCTGCTGAAGGGATTCACATGGTCCAACAGAGAACTCACTCTCCTTTGCTATGAGTGATTGGGTTAGGTCTTTGCACTTCCATAGGTTTATGATGTCACTCCAAATATGTGTTTATGTCATAAAACTTTTCTTTTGTGGATTTAGTCCACTTACTCGCTTGGGTACCAGTTTGTTTTAGCCTTGAATACCAAAAGAGACTCATCTATTTCATGGCATATGTTGAGATTTTGTATGTCTGTCTGTCTGTCTGTATGACCTACCTTACTCCACAAATAACGTTGAGGTAGTTTTAGTAAAACTACCAAAAATAATGATGAAATATTATTATTACAGATTGAAGTGAGAAAAAATAGAACACAAATATCTGACCTTCTACACAGTTGCTGTGGTTGAACTCTAGATGTGGCACTGAACTCTGGAAGTTGATACTTTATTTATCTTTCTGATATTCCACTTTAGGAAAGAACTCCTATTAACCTGCACATGATAAAACCTAATAAGCCTTTAGAGTAAGACCCTGACATGGCAGAATCTTATAGGTCTAGGTGGTCCTGCTGTGCTGTCTTGTAATTGTGACATGAGGCCAGCAGAATAGTAGATAGGATAGTGTAGATAGGGTAAGTATTTGTAATTGGGTGATTAGGTGCTTGATTTTCACCTCAGAAATAGTTGGTGCTTTTTCATGTCCTCCTTGGTGTGAAAATAGGAGTGAGTCCCAGTCTGCATAGTGATACAGAATTAGAACTACTTTTGCTAAACTAGAATCAGAAATTTGCTTATAAAATCTGCTTTTTAAATGAGACAGACTGTTCCTTTTTTGGGGGGTAAAACTATCCTCAATTTTTATTTACCATCATTCACTTTCTCATCCAAAAAAAGCCTCATCTTTTGGTTAAGCATTAGTGACCACTCTTCTAGGTAGATGAATCTGGTAGCTTGAGGTGATTGTTTACTTCCTGGAGTCACTGCAGGGGAAGTGCTTGATCTACTATAGCTCAGGAAGTACAAGGTTTACCCTTTTGCTTCTGTGGGAGATTGAGCTTGTTTTTTCTCTCAATGAATATCCAAAGTGTATATAAGCTTTTCCTCCCTACAGCTTGTCATTTATAACCATTTATGCTTAAAGGTGACGGATTTGACCGGGGAGAAAGCATGATTCACTGCTAGATTCCTTGATATAAGACAGTAATTTTTCTTTTAAACTTTTTCTGTGTTATGGTGGTTGGCTTGCCCTCAAGATCTTACATTGTGATGCCATTTTATGCCTTTCAGAGCATGTAATACTACCTTTAATCACATTACTTCAGTTTGCAATGGTGGATCTCCACACTGGCAGTGTGGAAAATGGCCATGCAGGTTGCCACCTGGTTAGGTTTTATAATCTTTATCTCTCTAACTCAGAGAACCTAGCCCTGGATGCACATTTAGGGACTTCTAAAAACATGATTGTATCAAGTCCCCACCTCAGACTAACACAGTCTCTTCCTGTTCACTGAGGGCAAGCCAAGCACCGATGCTTTTTGAAAGGATTAGATATCATCATAAATAGCTGAGATGAAAATCACTGTTTCAGTTTCCTGATAAGGAAGGTGATTGAAAATTAAGAGGAACCAACTTTAGAGATGTCCATTTGTACTCTGCCTTGGAATGAACAAGTGAGGAATCCTATTTATATTGTAACTAGTATTTTGGAAGACATTAGGAAATGCGATTCATTGCTAGCCTTTCTGATGTAATTATATGTCTGTGTCCTATGTCTGTATGTATGTGCTCATTATAGACCATTGGGTCAAGACGAATCATTTCTTTTTCACTCTGCACACTGGACATTTACTCTGTGGTAGGCATTCATCAGGTATTGGAACCAATAAAAGAAACCTTAAGGTTTTGGGAGTTTCTAAGGATTCAAGCCAAAATTGGAGCAGTTTTCAGAGCTTAAACTTTAGAATTTTAACTTTCTGTTCTCATGTCTGATCCCTTCCTGGGTCCTTATTCTCTCTGAATCCTTGCTTCGGGGGGATGTTTTGGTGTGTTGGGACACAGCCCTGTGGGTCTGACTTATCTGCCTCCTTTTTACTTATAGCCCAGTGCCTGTGAGCAGGTGTCATGGTTTCCAGAATGTACTACAGAAATTCTTGATACTCAGGAAATGAGCAATTGGATGGTTGTGGGAAAGGTAGGATTTCAGGATAATATAACCTGAATTCTTCATATTTATCTTTTGACTTTTCTCCTCCTCAAATCTAGTATGTATAAGTATACTCAGTTTAAGAAAAATGTGAATCTGACCATTTTGGCAGGAGTAAATCTGTGCCAAGAGGGTATACTAATGGCTTTACAGTTATCCTTTTGGGAGGTATGTCAAAAATGTTTTCTTTTTCCCTCTCCTAGCCATTTAACTTGCAAGGCAGCACAAAATGTATAACGTCTGTCGTTTCATGGATGCACTTTTCCCCATGCTTATTAGATGCTTTTAGAGAGCTTATTAGGTATCTGTATATATTCTTGTCATTGCTGGGCACTGTTCCAGGTAGATGAAAAGACACTGTCCCCTTTCTTCAGAAAGTAATGAGGGAGTTGTTATAGGGGGAATTTGTTTAATCTCCTTCTGGAAAATTGTTAAGAATAAAGTGGATGGCTACTAAATCAATATGGTCTAGAAAGCAGTTCTCAAAGTATAGAGGCCCTTGGGAATCTCTGAGACCTTTTAAAGGTGTCTGCAAGGTCAGAGCTATTTTCATAATGATATTGAAAAGTTATTTACCATTTTCACTGTTACTTTTTCATAAGTGTCCTGAGGAGTTTTCCAGAGGCCGTGACATGTGGTAATACAATCTATTGCTTGTATATGTAGAGAAAAGAGAATCTAGCTGTTTTCTAGTATATGAGACATTAAAAGATTCCCAAGAATTAAAAGATTCACAAGAATGGAAAACATGCCTCTGTTCACTAAGTATTTTTGAAGTGTAGTTATTTTCATAAGGTCATTTAACTTTTTTTGTTAATATTTAAATTTTTCTCAGTTTTACTTTTTAGTAGTAGACACACACTCTATGTAAACAAAGAGCTCTTGGAGGTCCTTATGATTTTGAAGAGTATAAAATCTGAGAATACCTTGGGTGCCTCCCTGGTGTTTCAAGTGGTCAAGTCTCAGCACTATGAAGCTGTTGGCAGCCACTGCATCATGAGTTGGATCCCTGGCCAAGGGGCTGACCCACAGCACAGCAGACTTCTGTCCTGTCAACTGCCCCCTCAGCAGTGTATTTCAGTTAATCTGCCTGTTCTGTTCCCCACTCTTTCTCTGGTGACTCCTCTTACCCTCCACACCTCTGGCCTGCTGTTGTATGTTTAGATAAATAAATCTTTAAAATAAAACAAACAAAAAATCCAAGAATACCAAATTGAGAATTGCTGACTTAGATACAGGGTGGACTTGGCATTCCCATGAGGACGCCTTGAGCCCTTGTTTTCTGTGACACCAGTGCTTGGCGTCATGCATTCATACTGTCACAGAGTGAGACACCTCTTGGTTGAAGGGCAGTAGCCACCTTCCCTCTGCACTTTAGAGCCAGACAGCTTGAGTGTCTCCTTACTATTTGCTTTTCTCAGCCTCAGCATTCATGAGTCTTATATCCATATGGCGTGCTAGTCAGAGCACCCAGGGGGCTGATTCATCTCTCAGCCATCTGGAGGAGAGCCAGGGGGATTTAGGATTTTCTTTCTTGCCCCTCAGGTATTGATGTTCCTTGGCAGGGACTCAAGTCCCTTCTTGCTTTACTCACTTGGAACCGTAGTTTCCCTGTTCATCTTCCCAAATGCAGTCACACGTAGTCATTATTGATTCGTTTTCTTTTTCTTATAGAGAAAGATGATTATTGAAGATGAAACGGAGTTTTGTGGGGAAGAGCTTCTTCACAGTATGTTGCAGTGTAAGGTAAGGTCTCCTTGAAGCTAAAGCTGTAGTTTAAAATCTGTGAGGAATTATGCTGGGTTTCTTCAGTTCTTTTGAGTTGGCTGTGGATGGTGGAGGCGTCACTAAGATTTTTCCTGGAGCTCAGATGTGTACATCTCTCTAGGCGGTCCTTTTTCCTGGTGCCTATCCTGCCCTGTAACATAGTGCTGTCTTTGAGAGCCAGGAGAGGACCCACTTACCCTCAGTGGTCAACTCATTGTAATCCTAGGAGCCTGGTGTAGAAAGATTTGGAATACTTCTTTAACATCAGGCCCTCCTGAATTCTACTTAATGCAACATTTTTGCTCTGTGACTTTGGTTCAGTTATGTAAACTTTACTGAGTTTGAGTTGTTTAATCTATGAAGTGGGGAGAAGATACTTCCTAACATTGTTGTGAAAATTAAATGAAATAGTGGGTGTGGAGTGCTTAATACACTGGGTGAATGTTAGGTTTTCCTTAATTTCTTCTGGTTTAATTTGTGTCAGAAAGTATATTGCCAGGGGCACAGTGAGCCAGGGAAATGCTGGGAGGAGATGGATTGAAGAAGTAGTAAAGGTTCAGAACAGCCTCTCAAGATTTTATTTTTTGGCTGCAGAAAGTTGGAAATATTCTAAGGTCAACTCAGGTGAAGTGAGGCTTGGCTTTTTTCATAGAGGAAGGGAGAAGGAATCCCTACAATGTTAGTTGCCATCAGAAAATCCTGGTCTTGGGTTGTTTACCCTCTGAGAAAGCCCCTTCCAGGCGAGTCTTAATGCCAGACTTCTGGTCCCTTGGAAGGACGCGGCTGGTGTGGTATGGAGAAACATCCACTGTGAGCACGAGCACTGCATACCAGTCGCTCTGTGTTTAACAGTACTCGCTGTTGGCTGTGTGCCAGGGGCATATTACATTAGCTTTCCTACCATTTTACACGTGAGGGACAGTGAGCAAATTGTCTATAGCCAAACAACTAGTTATTTCAGAGCTAGGAGACAGTTGGAGCCTAGCTCCTTCAAAGACTGAGAGTCAGGCCCCACAAGCTTTTAAAACCCCTGTCTGTCCAGGAAGAGCTGGGGTGATAATCACTTCGAGGTTCTTGTTCTCTCTGGGCAGAGCGTGTTTGATGTCCTAGATGGGGAGGAGATGCGGCGAGCTCGGACGCGGGCCAATCCCTATGAGATGATCCGAGGAGTCTTCTTCTTAAACAGGTTTGCTGACAATTCTTTCCCTTCCCAGCATGCAGGCTTACACCTTTTCATTTGAATTTCAGCTTTCCACATGTCTGGAACTGAGTCATGACTTTTTGTCTTGATTTTTTGCAGGGCAGCAATGAAGATGGCTAATATGGATTTTGTGTTTGACCGCATGTTTACAAATCCAAAGGACTCTTTTGGGGTGAGGGCAAGATTCTGCTTCTGAATTCATGTTCTAAATGGTACTAAAGCATCAGTGGCTCAGAAATCACCATTTTTGCAAAGTTAAGAGTATTCTATTATATGATAAGGATATTTTGCTTTTTGTACCTCACATAGGGTCCCACAATGCTTCCTGTGGTCCCAGGAGTGTCCCAGTAAGCATTTGTCTCTAGAGCTCCAGGCCCAGAGTCTCAGTCCCCAGTACTGAAATTCCTACTGCTCACTCCATGTAGAGATGGGCCAGGGCCACAGCAGTATCAAAAGGACGTTGATGGAAAAAATATGCAGCCATGGCTGAACAGGAAAGTGAGGCCTTGAACTAGAGCGTGGACTCCACCCCTGCAGTCACTGCATGTATATTTAGCCCTCCTTTGTATCAGGCCTATAATTTTGAATTAGATAT